TTTGAACAATGGACATTTATTTCTCAGTTCTGGAGGTTGGGAAGTTCAAGATATGGGTGCCCCCAGGTTCTTGGTGAGGGCCCTCTTCCTGGTGTGTTGGCAGCTGCCTCTCACAGGACCTTTCTGTCAGTACACATGTGTGGAGAGAGTTCTGGGGTCTCATCCCCTTCTTTTAAAGACACTAATCCCTTTATGGGGACCCTACTTTCATGACCTCACTTAAACCGAATTATCTCCCAAAGCCCCACCTCCAAATACCATCACATTGGGGATTAGGACTCTAACATGAATTTGGGGGAAACACTAATTTCTATCATATTAAAATTTTCCCAAATTTTTCTTTTACAAAAGTCAGCGAAAGTTGATAGTAAACGTTGATTGTGATCCTTTACCTTAGAAGGACGGTCTAGTTCATGGTGAAAGTGATTGAAGCATTCAGATATTGTCCTTTTGATTTCTTCTGGCCATGTGCAAGACCAGTATCTTTTGTTGACAAGACATTCTTGTCATTCTTCTTTGAAATGCCTATTTCCCTGTGCTTTGCTTTTGCAGAGTTGGTGGTGTTCGCCACAGTTTCTCTGTGCCAGTCTTTAATGAACAATCCAAAGCTTGTCATTTTGGGGTGCCTGGGTGGCTCAGGTGGTTGGGCATATGCCTTCAGCTCAGGTCATGATCCAGGAGTCCTGAGATCTAGTCCAGCGCTGGGCTCTCTGCATAACGGGGAGTCTGCTTCTCTCTCTGCCTCTTCCCAACTTGTATTTTCTCTCATTCTCTCTCTCAAATCTTTAAAATAAATAAATAAATAAATAAATAAATAAATAAATAAATAAAGCTTATCATTTTACTGTACATTGTTCTAGGTTGATTCTGATGGTTTGCAAATATGTTTGCGTGGTCACATGTGGACAGAATTAAAGTTGTTCTAGTTCCGTTTCTTGGTCTTTACAATAACGAGGTTATCATTGATTAGTTCAGATCTACACTTTGGACTCAGGAGTATGTAACCAACTGTGCCCAAATTGAGGTCTATATGATTCCAACTGATCATGAACTTGTTCCTAAAACAAATACTTGTGGCTGAGTCTGTATGTGTCCTAGGCCAGCTGGTAACCAGAAGTTCTCCAAATGAATTTCATGGTGTAAAACAGTGTTTGTGAAAATATGAGTAATAAAAATGTAATTGGAAATATATATTTTTAAATTTTATTTTATATATAAATATATATTATATATATTTATTTTATATATATGTGTGTGTATATATATACATATATATGTATATATATAAACTATACACACACACACACATATACTAAATAGGAACCACAGTAGTTGTTTAGAAGTTAAACAACAACAGGGGCGCCTAGGTGGTTCAGTGGGTTAAGCCTCTGCCTTCAGCTCAGGTCATGACCTCAGGATCCTGGAATCGAGTCCCGCATCAGGCTCTCTGCTCGGCAGGGAGCCTGCTTCCTCCTCTCTCTTTCTCTGCTTGCCTCTCTGCCTACTTGTGATCTCTCTCTGTCAAATAAATAAATAAAATCTTTTAAAATTAAAAAAAAAGTTAACAACAAAAATTTTCAGGGAGAATTATTTTATCACTGTAGTTTTTTTTTAAATTGCAGGCTGATGGTGATAATAAAAACCACTTTTAGTTGGTTTATTGTTTTTAAATTCCCTTTAGACAATGCGCTCCATATGGCCTGTCTGAGGATTGTTCCCAGCATCCTCTCAGCTCCAGGCCTCCACCTCCAAGTCAGCCGGGGATGCAGACCAGGGGACAAGAGAGACTTAAGTAAGACTGCTGTGTACCCTGTAGTAGAATGTCTTCCTTCTAAACAGAAAATCAATTTTCTTCAGGTCTCTTCCTCTCAAGGAAGGGGACCCTATTCTCAGTCCAGGAGAATATACTGATTAAGATTTTGTGTTCATTCAATTTCCCTTGTCTGTGATTGGTTTCGGTATGGGTATTTGTTGAAGTTTCAGCCAAAGATCCTTGAAGGAAAGTCAGTTGTGAGGGCTTTCAAATCCATCAATGCACCCCAGCATAGTCTAGACTTATAAAAAAATATATAAGTCTAAGACTTATAAATAAATAACACACACATGCCTATCTATGTATCTGTGCATATATACAGATATACATGTATGTGTGTATGTATGTATATGGACATATATACAGGATAATACATGTATGTCATCTTGTTTTCAATCTATATGTATACCATTGAGATGAATAAAAATGCATCCCCATAAAAGAGATACTAAATTCATAGTAGCTCCTTGGATTTATATATTTTTCTCAGTCAAAAGATACTAAAAGTACAAATACTATCAATACATGTTCATAGCTTTATGGTTAAAGGAGTGTTAATGAACAACATTCTATTCCTTTGTCATCAAATAGGTGTAGTATCAGAATTTCCCACCAACCACTAGAGGGCAGTATACACCAGCAAAAAGCCCAGCCATCCTGTCCGCGGAGGCCTGGTCCTGAGACCAACTAAGCCACTAAGCCGTGGTAAACAGCCACTTCTTCAGAATGGCCACTTAGGGAAAACCATGCAGGTCCCATTTTTCTCTAACGCAGAATGAAAATACCTTTACTAACTCTCATGAGGGAGTATGTACATTTTAACTGATTCAACAACCTTGGACATGTAGTGTTCGGAATCTAGGGTCAGAATGACTGGGTTTACATCTCGCCTCCATCCTTAATAGCAGTGTGACCTTGGGGAAGTTTTCCTACCTGTTTCCTTATCTGTAAGATGATAATAATAACAGTAGACACATGCTCCGTAAGTGCGAGCTCTTATTAAAGCTTCAGTCACTGAGGCTCTGCAGTTACCCTGCCTAGCTTCAAATACTGGTTCTACTAAGCTAAATAAATAGCTTAGTACTATGGACATAATTTTCTTAACCTTGCTATTCTCATCTGTAAAATGTGGCTAAAATGCCAACCCGATGATGACTGCTTAAAGATTAAACGTCCATCAGCGGCGTGCCTGGGTGTCTCAGTCGGTTAAGCGGCTGCTTTCTCCTCAGGTCATGATCCCAGGGTCCTAGAATCGAGCAGAGCCCTGGGTTGGGCTCCCTTCTCGGCGAGGAGTCTGCTTCTCCCTCTGTCTGTCACTCCCCCTGCTTGTGCTTGCTCTCTCTCTCTCTCTCTCTCTGTGTCAAATAAATAAATACATAAACAAATAAATGTACATCAGCACGTAACAGTGCCTTGCATATAGTAAAATGTAATATATACTTATTGTTAGCATTACTTTTAATACTGCTTTTATAAATACTAATGATAGTATCATTAGACTTGGAATTAAATACTTGTCACAGGCATTTGTGCCATTTATTGTTTACCTTAAGGCACATTTGAGAATTTGGAGCCACACAAAGTACATTTTCTGATTCTTCCCAAAGCTAGACAGTACCCTGTCCACAGACTGCTCACCACTATTGTAAAGCTTGCTTTCTACGGGAAAACCAAACTGGAAAGTCATGCAATTAAGTGGAAAATTTTATTTTTGTCCACAGATGATATGTGGAATTTGTGCCCCTTTAAAACTTACTTTCTTTTTTGGAAGGAGATCTTTTATTTGGATCACTCAAAAACTTCTGAGTTTCTTCAGTGAGACTGTGCACTAGGTGTCCTCCCTTGTTTCTTTCTCGATAGACCTTGACAGATCCCAGTGAGTTTCTGCTTTCTCAGCTGGTGTCAGCCCAGGCTTCCTTGTCATTGAGCAAGGATGGCGGCTTTTTGCAGCCCAGCTTACATCCTCCTATCTCCATGGAGAAGCTTGCTTAAAAAAAAAAAAAAAAAATCAGACTTCAAAATGATATAAAAACATCATCAGTCATTTTGAGTGTTTTATTATATCTGCCAGAAGATATAATAATTTGATGGTGTTGGACTGTTGCTTAGCATTGTAGTCTCTTTCAGTAATAAAAAAAATATTTTTAATGTTGGCAACAAAAATGAATTGATTTTTTGACCTGACTGATAGTGTTGGGGGATTTAGCATTTGCCAAAATGAACCAAGAAGGCCAGACTGCTTATAAACCCCACAGCCGCCAGCCAGTCTGGTCAACGCCTGGCAACGGACTGACTTCCCCATCAGCTTTGCTCAGTCTCACCTCTGAACTTCCTGTTCCACTGGCCACCACTGTTGCTCGAATCAACCCCATTACAGCCAGGGCTCCAGTGGCGTTATCATGGAAAGATGGAGAAAACGGCTGGTTGGGACCACCACAAGCCCTGGATCATTTCCAGAAGACAGCTTCCCCTCGGGAGCCAATGAATCTGTTTTTTACCAAGAGTTCAAAAGTCTTATCCAAAAAGTCCAGAGCTTCGATAGTTGGACAACTGGTGTTCCAGTGTGATCATGTCTGCCCTTTCAATGTAAGAACTGAAGCACTTTGTAAAACCTGAAAACAGTTTAAGACATTAAAAAGACTCACCCCCTTCCAAAAAAAGGAATTTTCATGTACTGTAGAAACCATTCAGAGGCAAAACATCACATCCTTGTGAATATAATGGGGTCTTGCTTCCCCCTCTTATTTGAACACAACTCTCATTGACTTAAAAGTGACATTTCCAAACTGGCTGCAGGAATGATTTGTCCTCCAAACAAAGCAGGCTGCATTTGTTCTGGTAGAATGGCTTCTCTTTTTTTGTCTCTGGATAATTTGATACAGCATTCATTCATTCAAGTGTGACTCTCATTTGAAAAATTTCTCAATGAGACCATTTAAAAAATATTTTTTAATCTGGAGCTTTCATGACTTCTCTAAGGCTTCTTTCAGCCTTGTCCTTGTCAGCTTAATAGAAATGGCAAAAATTGATTTTTTGAAATAAAATTGTTCCCAGTAAATTTCAACCTAAAATCAATCATTTGTCCCTAAAACCTTGTTTGTACTGAGCATGGGCAATTTGTGTCTACAATTTTAAGACGAGGGATTTTCTAATTGCTTCAAGGAATTTTTTTTTTCCCTCCAGATAAAATGACAAGCTTCCAGCCTTTGGACTTGGAAAGGAAGGGAAGTTACTTAAATCTAGTATCTTCCACATGCCTGGGGCTATTTCAAGAACAACAAATCTCTGAGTGTTTAAAAACAGTGCTGGGGAAATTAGAGCTACAGGTAATATTATTTTCTCTTCTGGGAATGCACCCCATCAAGGGTCAGACTCCATGCTTCCCACCTTCTCCAGTCTCAGGCACTTCCTGGCCTCTGAGGTCAGAATTCCCATAAATTTCAGGACCTGCCATTTTCTCAGGGCAGAGGTGAGACCCAGGAAGAAGAGACCCCACAATCACATCTTCATAAACTCAAACAAGCAGACTTGCAGGGTTTACATTTTAAGCCTATGAATCTTCTTCGTGATGGTTCTCATGTCTCTTGAAATAAACAATGTGGGAAGAAAAATATTATGGTCTCTATTTGCAGCATTTTGTTCTGAAAATAACTGGGACAGGAGAGGTGAACCAGTAGTGGTACATGCGCGGGCAAAGCTCTCTGACTTCACTGCACAATCGTCTCTTCCTCTTAAACAACCAGCTCCCAGTTACCACAATGCCCCTGTGTACAGAGGAAAGCCAAAATTAAAAGGTCTCTTTAATACTCAAGGTAAGATTCCAGTTAAATTTAGGGCTAATGAGAAGGCAGTCTGGTTGGTGATTGTGTTTTGCCTTCAGCTTCTGTTTTTAGCCTGTGAATAAGGTTTAAAGGAATAATGGGCATTTAAAGTCGGTGTGGCCCTTTAAGACATAAGTAACTGAGACCGTCAATGAGATTGTCAAGTATCAAAGAGGTTACTACTACATCTTAAATTTCCCCTTGAGTGAGAAGGGAATGATCAAATTCAGAAACACTTCATTTGATCAAGCTAAATGCTCTTCTTCTTGCTAATCTCCTCCCGAGATTTTGCTCTTCACTTGAACAAATTAACTGAGGGTGAACGATGATCAAAAGAAAAACTTATGAAGAGCAAACGCCATAAATCGCTAGTGAGTCTGAAATACACATCAGAAAAAAATTTTTCTTTAGTCAGATAGAGATCAGAAGCAAAAGACACAGATAGAAGCATGAGATATCTGCTGTAAAATAAACAGAACACAGACACAGTCAGGTTTGGGGCAGGGTTAAGAATGTCACTATATCACAGAGGAACTTTGTGGGCCGGGGCACTTCCCCTTCCTACACCTTTCTTGGCAAGTAGAGTCTGAGTTATGAGGAGCTCCCAATCTATAACCTCCCTATTCCCACCCCATTCCCACACACACACCAGTTTTCTTTTTTATAAATAGGGATCACACAAAGCCCTTGAGCTGAGTTGAAATTAACAGAGGAAACTTACATAGACATTAAGATAGTCACGCTTGAAGAAAGAGTAATCTGAAAATTACTTTTGGAATATAGCCTACAGATATAACTGCCCACATTACCAAAGAACCTGTGTAGAAGGTTATTCATTGTATGTAGTGTTATTTGTAAAGAAGTAATTGGAAACAAACATCCATCAGTTGGGGACCGGCTAAATAAGCCTTATCCCCAACAGTAGAATCACACGCAGTGGTAAAAACGCACTGTATGAGGACGCTTTCCAGGAAGTACTGAGGCTGAACGGTCTACATAGTATGTTATATCTGTAAGAATGGAGAGGAGATAGGAATATATATTTGTATTTACCTAAAGAAACTCTGGAAGGAAACACAAGTTAATGAGAATGTTTTCTAAAGCGGCACAGTCGGAGGTTTAGAGGGTACAGAGTTGGGCACTTCCCCATGAATGACTTTTTTGAACATTTTTGTTTTTTTGACTATGTGAATGTATTATCTATTCAGGATTTTTAAATTTAAAATAATAATAATACAACTCAGTAACAAAACAATCCAATTTTCTTTTTTTTTTGGTAAGTGGCAAATTTGGACACTTCACCAAAGAAAAGAGATGGGTAGCAACGAAGCACATGAAAAGATGCTCGACATCGTTAATCATTAAGGAAATGCAGGTTAAAACCAGAATGGCTCCAGTGAACAAACCTGACATTACCAAGTGCTGAGGAGGATGAGGAGCCCTGGGAATTCATACCCTGCTGGTGGGAATGCAAAATGGTATGGCCACTTTGGAAAGCAGAGTATGTTTCTTGTAACATGGAACATGCATTTACCATATACTGCCCAGAAATCCCACTCCTATGTATTTAACCAAGAGAAATGGCTACATTAAGTCTCTCCATCCAAAAAATCCAACAAACCAGAGCATAAATGTTTATTGTGGCTTTCATTGTAGTCATCCAAACCTGGCAACAACTCAAATGTCTACCAACAGATGATGGCTAACGAGTCATAATTGCTGGAATACCAGTTAGCAATAAAAAGGAAAGACCTGACACATGCCGCTAATGAATGAATTTCAGATGCTTTCTGCTAAGTGAAAGAAACCAGACTCAAAAGGCTACATACAGTGTGATTGCACTTCTGTAACATTGTGGAAAAGGTACTGCTCTAAAGACAGAAAACAGATCAGTGGCCAGGGGCTGTGGGTTGAGAAAGGTTTGGCTACAAAGGGGCTCAAGGGAACTTTGGGGGACAAAGGAATTTCTCTATATTGTGGATGTGGTGTACATTTGTTAAACTTCAAGGAACTGTATCCCTTAAAGGGGTGAATTTTACTGTTATGTAAATTATACCTCAACAAACCTGACGTTAAACATTTTTAATAGTAACATACGAGGGAGACATTGTCAAACTTGTGCTTTAGAAGGGTCACTCTGGTTGCTATGTGGTAAAAACACCAGAGTAAGCAAAAATAAAATTGCAGCTGTTACAGCGGTTCTGTGGGACACCTCCCCTGAGAGCCAGGACCAAAACGGTGGTGAAACTGGACAGAGGCAGGCCCATTAGAAAGAGATTTTGGAGTGACAGATGGGAAGACTTGCTAATGGACTGGCTATAGGTCAGGAGAGACCGAGAGTTATCAAAGGGGACTCCAAAGATTCTTCTATCTCCCGTGTGTCTTCGTCCATCTGGGCTGCTATAACAAAAATACCAACGACCTGATGGTTGAAGGAACAAATATTTATTTCTCACCTTTCTGGAGGCGCTGGAAGATCTGATCTCCGGAGAGGACAGAGATGGCCATCTCTTCACTGTGTCTTACCTGGCAGAAGGGGAAGGGAGCTCCTTGGGGTTTCTCTTATAAGGGCACTAGTCCAATTTGTGAAGACTCCACTCTCATGACCTAATGCTCTCCCAAAGGCCCCACTTCCAAATACCACCACACTGCAGGGGTAGGTTTCAACACAGGAATTAAAGGACATACACGTATGAGGCAGGTGCAGAGCAGAGATTATCAAACAGTTCTAGTCCCAATGCCACCACGAATTATCTGCAGAACTCTATTAGGGTCTCTTAAGTGTGTGCCAAGGACTGGAATAATAATGTGAAAACTGCGAACATGAGACCAAGAATCCTTTAGTTGTTTGTCCTAGAAATTAAAGGGAAAAAAAACAAGTCAGCTAAGAAGGACTGCTATGGGGGCGCCTGGTTGGTCCAAGAAGAACTTGGACTCGTGATCTCAGGGTCATGGGTTCGGGCCCTTACTGGGTATGGAGATTACTTAAAAAATAAATAAACTTTAAGAAAAAGAAAAGAAGAAGAAGCTTCTTCCCCTTCAGGAGGGCAAAACCAAAAAGATGAAACTCTGCCACTTCTTTTTGCTGGTCAACATAAAATGGCCTAACAAGAAAAGAAGAGGAAAAAAATTAGCTGAAATATAACTTGCTTATTAATAATAATTCATGTGTGGGTTTGTTTTTTTAATTGTGTAAAGTTCATTTCCATGCTTGCACATGTATTCGCTGTGGCTGATTGTGGACTGACAGGTGATTGCCCATTAGTCTAGCGTGGACGTTCCTCACCACACCGTTAACATGCTGACCCCAGTCTGGGTCTAACAGTCTCGAGGAGGGCAGCTGCCTTTGGTCCCCTCAGTTCAGACTCATTTGGTCAGAATAGCTAAATCATATCTTAGAATGCTATGTGAAGTTCAACAGGAAATCCTTGCAGGTTTATGCTCATGAAACCATTTTGTGATAAAGGTGAAGACCGGAAAGAACAACAGTAATAGAGCCCAAACCTACTATGTGCAACCTCTCGTTCTGTATACACACATACACATGCTTATACAGACATATATTCTGATTATAAAAATAACAGACGCTAGCAAACATTTTAGAAAACCCTCCCCAATGTCACTTACCATATACTCACTGTAGGCTTTTTGTTATACATTCCTCCAGATTGTTTTCTGCACAACTACATTTATTTGAAGAGTATTACTTACATAAAGATAATTTAAAGAAATTTCAGCCAAGATTTTGACACTGGATATTAATACTTCTACAGTGATTAGAGGGAGGAAATTAAATGAGAGAGGATATATCTAAATATCTCTAAAGGATATGTCTAAATAATTCATTAACTTTTAAAGTATTAATCTAGGGGTTTCCTTTGATGGTTATTAAGAGAACATGGTAGAAAATTCATGTAAAAGAGTGAACTAAAATTACAGAATTATCTGATTCTATATAAAGTTTCTTAGCAACAATATTTCAAAGAGTTAATACATTTAATTCATGATGGTGACAGGGTTCAGGACACACTCCTCCCAAATATGGCACCTTGGCATATGGAATGTTTTAAGCTCAAGGAATTTGGGAAATGGCAGGTGCAGGAAGGACTCAATGATCTTCCCTTCTGCCCTGAATTAGATCATAAAACCCTCAAATGAGGGGCGCCTGGGTGGGTCAATCCAGTTAAGCGTCTGCCTTCAGCTCAGGTCATGATCCCAGGGTCCAGGGATGCAGGCCCACCTTGGGCTCCCTGCTCAATGGGGAGTCTCTGTCTCCCTCAGCCCCTCCCCACCCATGCTTGTGCTCCCACACTCCCTCTCTCTCTCAAACAAATAAATAAATAAACTTTAAAAACAACAACAAAAACCCCTCATATGAGAAGCCCTATACCCACAGAAAAGAAGCATCCCATCCTTTCTTTCAAAGACAGAGGAAGAGACACCTGGGTGGTGGCTCAGTCAGTTAAGCGTCTGACTCTTAATTTCAGCTCAGGTCATGATCTCGGGGCTGTGAGATTGAGACCTTCATTGGGCTCTGTGCTGGGCGTGGGGCCTTCTGAAGAGTCTCTCTCTCCCTCTGCTCCTCCTGCCCAACCCCTGTCGTTAAAAAAAAAAAAAAAAAAGACAAAGGGACTCTGAGAGGGATCCAAACAAGTATTGCTAAGTTTCCCCCAGTTTAGCACTCTCAATTTGTACACTTTCACCCTCCCACATTTTCCCACAACTTTCCACTCTTCTTCAAACTGAGAATAAAACCACTCAGGTTTAGCCATTTCTTGGGATGTTCATTTCTTTATGAACGCTCTTGCATTACATAAAATTAAGATTAAATAAATTTGGTGATTTTCTCTTACTAATCTTTATTTTAGGGTTGAAGAAAAGGATTTTTTTTCCTAATGGAAAATTTTTACTCTGATAGAAATATTTTCTAAATAATACAATAAAGTATATGTCCTAGTGTATTTAGCCACTTGAATTAGGAAAATAGTGATTAATAACTAGTAGATAATTAATATCAACATATCTTGTTTATCTGGACTCAACCTATTCCAGAAAGCTTAAGGAAACCTTTAACATAAATATCTTTTATATCACCTTATACACAATTTCTTTTGGTTATAAAAATATTTTGGGCAACAAAAAATACTCAGATGTGTTTTGGAAGATCAGCTAATACCACCAAATTTATGATAACAATCAGCAGCAACAAAAAAAACAGTGGTTGGCTCTGGAATTAGATTCCCCAAAGGCAGAGGCAATTTTTAATTCAACAGCTGTTTCTCCTCTTATATTTTACTCCTTAGTTTTAGTAATAACAGTATGCAGCTACTGATTAAACAATTTTAGACGTTATGTACTGACTTCCCATTATGGAAGGACTTAATATTCTTTTACCACTCCTATACACGCGCACACACACACACGTTCTTCCCCCCCAACCCTGCATATTTTATTCATAATTTTATATTAAATGAATATTCAGTTTTTATAATATAATAATGCAAATATTGCTTGCAAGTAAGCAATGCATTGTATATATTTCTTTTTTATACTTCTATCTTTCCAGGAGCTAAATTTGCTTATTGATTTGTTTTGCTTTGTTTTAGTATGTGTGAATGGAAGTCGTATGTGCATGAGTATAATTTTTCTTATACTTCTCCAATTCTCTTCCCAGCAACATTGTCAAGCACCTCAAGTTTTCTTGTGATTTTTGTTTTTGTTTTTGTTTTTTGTTTTAATGGAGACATCTCTCTCAGACCTTTCCATCCTTCTGTTTCTATCAAGACTGGTTGATCTCTAGAATGGCTAAATTTTGTCAGCCTCATATTTTCTCTCTCATGACTCTAGAAATTCAATTTGCCTTTTTCCTTTGTTGGAATTCTTGTTTTCTTACTCATGTCTTCCACTTTCTTTGTTTATTCTCTTCCTTTGGTAGCATACATGTTCCAGAAATTCCTGGTGGGAAAAAAGATGTAAAGCAGAGTTTTTGAGATTTACCTGTTTGAAAACATCTTTTTTTCTATCTTCATATTTGATCATTTAGCTGTGCAGAAACTTGGATTGGTAAGATATTCCCTCAGAATTCTGAAGGCATTGCTTCATTAGCTTTCAACCCTTGGTCTTGAGAGTTCAACGCTACTCTTTCCTCATGACCTTTCTTTTTCTTTCTGGAAGCTTTTAATTTTTATTTTTTTTTTATCCCTACTGGGGATTTTACCATGTTTTGCCCTGGGATGGGTCATTTTCATTTCTCTATCTTAATGGGATCCTTCCTATCCTTTATTCTGGGCTGTGCTCCATATCTATCTATGATGGTTCCTTCTATGTGTCAGCTTGGCTGGGCCACAGGTGCCCAGATTCATGGTCAGAGGTTATTCTGGGTGTGTCTGTGAGTGCTTCAGGATGAGATTAATTTTTGAATTGTTAGGGACTGGATTCTGGCAGAAGAACCAAACCATACTCGGAGACCTTGGAGGATCCGAGGTTCACTTCACCCTGGCAGGCCCAAAAAAGAGTAATCTTTCCAGGTCTGAGCCCCAAGCACAGAGTGGGTATCTTACACAGTTATCTCATATACTTGTACTTCCGTATCTCTGCCACTCTTGCAGCTGGGTCCAGTGGGGCTAGGGGGAAAGCCTGCAATGGCCCTGGGGCCGGGACTGTGATTCCGCTGCTGGATTGGTCAGCCACTCAGAACACAGACTTTCCTCATCAGAATCAGTAGACTGAATGCAGCCGAGTGCCCTCAGCAGTGTGGGCAGGCCTCACTCGATTCACTGAAACTCCAGGGACAGAAGCAAATGTTGT